CTGGTGCACTTCCTGTTGACCCCAGAAAAGAGAAGCTGCACCACCATGCTGCCTCATCTGCTGAACCACCTCTTAGACACCACACATGGTGAAATCCAGAAAGTGTAAATGGAGGGGCATTGGGGTGGTGGCTCAGTGGTAGAGAACTTGCCTAGCATGTGTGAGGCACTGGGTTTGATCCTCAGCACCACATAAAAAATATAAATAAGTAAATAAATAAAGGTGTTGTGTCCATCTACAACTAAAAAAATACTTTAAAAAAAAAGAGTAAATGGGAGGGTCCATGGCCCACCTTCTTAAAGGCCCCAGCAGTATACCCCTTAGGTTGCTCTTCCTTCTCTTGTCATCATCAAAGGATTACGACCACCTCTGCACAGAGTGGAGTGAAACAGGGAGTTGATACTGCACATGAGATGACAGGAAATGGGCTCATACTGAATCATCTAAGATAATTCAACATTATTTTCCATGTAGATTTGCACACTTAATTTKAACTTTTAAAAATTTGATTAAAAATAACTTTCACTGATTTTATCCTTTTCAGGAGAGAATGACTAATCCCACAGTGTTCTGGTAATTCTGTTCTCCATCAATGAATTTGGTTGCCTGGGTGTTCTAACTAAGGATTTATGTTCCTGCCTTCTAAGTTGCTGAGGCTGACTTTGAACTCACGATCCTCTTGCCTCAGCCTCCCAAGCCACTGGGATTACAGGTACACTCTGCACTCAGCTGTTCTGTGCTATGTCAGAGCAAAAGGACAAGAAGCTAAATAGGAAGGGTAAAGAAAATAGCTTAGAAAACATGAGGGGAACTTCTAGAAGTGGGAATCATTGTTCATCCTCAGCAACTCTCTGTCTTGTTCTCACTGCTGTATCCAACTAGAAGAGCTAGAAAACAGTTGTGAGGATGGCAACTCCTCTATCTACAAYAGGCTTTTCTAGGTTGGCCTTCCTAATCTCATCCTTAATGTCAGACCTCCAAATCCAATATGGTAACCAGGATGTTAAAAATTCAGTTCCTCAGGCACACTAACCACCTTTCCAGTGTCTGATATTCCCATGTGGCTAAGTAGCTACCAGACTAGAACAGGGCACATATGCAATATTTCCAGTATCAAAACAAGTTCCATTGGATAGCACTGCCTTGGACCAACTGTAGCCAGGTCGTGGAGCCGGTGGACAAAGCATATGGCATGCCAAGAAGATTTTGTCCCTATCATTCACAGACAGCTTCAAGGAGCCACACAACCTGTTCTCATCTGTTGTAAAGATATTTACAAACTAATTCTCAAAGTCCGAGAAAGGCTTTGCACAAGTTATTACTAAACTAGTATGGATAATAAGGTGAATATAAGAAGTATACATATACTGTTTCTGAATAACTGATCAAATGAGATTTCTAATTAAATTCTGAGAAGAGAATAACATACTTCTTTTGGAAAAACATTCTGATTTTAACTTTTCTGCTTGTTCTTCAGTTGCCAACTCCCAGGAGATGCATTGAGACGACCCTGTGTCCCACACACAGCGGACACCAGGTCCTGCTGCCACACAAGCAGCTTCACTGTGATGCGCTTCACATTGTTCCGAGGTGAATACCAGGATGTCACTGAGGAGGAGACTGTTGAAACCACCAAACACATACATGGTGCTAGAGAAAAAAGGGAGATAATAAATTTGCTGAAAAATTATTTACAAATACATGATATACTTTGTAGACAACATTCAGACAAATCTTACATAACAAAGTCCTCTAAGAAATTACTTCAAGGTCTCTAAAATTATAATTCCCTTCCCTCCCAAATTCCACCCTTTAATCCTGACCTTTGCTCATCAAGAATAGTTCCAAAAATCACCCATGAAATTTGTACATGCAAAAGTGACATCTTGGGCTGGGGTTGTGGCTCAGTGGTAGAGCACTTGCCTCTCAGGCATGAGGCCCTGGGTTGAATCCTCAGCACCACATAAATAAATAAAAATAAAGATATTGTATCCATCTACAACTAAAAATTTTTTTAAATATTTAAATTAATATTAAATTAGTGAGTAATTAAATTAATCTTAAATTAGTGGGTCTTTTCAGTAAATGGTATCAAGATAACTAAACATATGAAAAAAAGGTTAAACTAAATCCCTTTCTCACTCTATGTACTAGAATAAATTCCAAATGGATCAAAGAATCATCCAAAAGAAGAAATCACATAAGTTCTAGAAGAAAGAATAGGCAATCTTTTCCATAACCTAAAAGTAGGAAAAACCTCCATATGACTTAAAAATGCAGAAGGTAGAAAAACAATTTTATATAGAGAGGACTTAAACCATGCATATGTCTTTAAGCATATGAAAAGATGCTTAACTTTAGTCAAAAGAGAAAAACAAATTAATGCTCATAAGCTGGGCATGATGTCACACACCTGTGATCTCAGCAGATCCAGAGGAGGCTGAGGCATAATGGTCATAAGTTCAAGGCCAGCCTGAGTAACTTATCGAGGCCCTAAGAAACTTAGTGAGAGCCTATCTCAAAATCAAAAGAAAAGGGCCGGGGGTGGGGAGGTTGGTGATGTCACTTAGTGGTCAAGCATCTCTTGGTTCAATCCCTGCTACAAAAAAAAAAAATAAAATAAACCCCACACTTATGTAACATTTTTCACCTATCACAGTAGCAAAGAAAAAGACCTCAAAACTTGAGCAAAACATGGAAAGATGAAGCTATGGGGCAACAGGCACACTCACACACTGCTGGGTTTATAAAATAGCACAAGCCCACAGACAGGTAATTTAGCAATTTCTAATAAAACTACACATCAACCTTCTGAATCTGAAATCACATTCTAGAAGTCTATCACACAGATTCAATAGCAAAAATACATGTGAGGTAATTAACTACATCATTAAAAAAAATAGGAAAAAGATTTCAACACTCCAAAATCTATTTGGAATGTATTAAACTCTGATGCATCAACATGATGAAATACTACACAGATGTAAAAAGAAATGAGGAAGATTCCTGTATACTGCTATGGCATTATCTCCAACTGTTATGCGGGGAGGAACCCATGCAGAAAAAAGTATGTACCCCATTTGAATCAAATGTATAATATGTCAAGATCATTGTAATGTTTTGAGCAACTAATAAAAAACTTTTTTTAAAAAAGTATGTAAAGTGTGTAGCAGTTTATCTATTGAGAGAAGGAAGAGCTCACACACAGAAACACAGTTTTTCTTTAACTGGTCTTCTTAAATGACCAACACAATAGTAATAATTAGGACTATGACTTAACTGTGGTAATTAAAAACATTCATTCCCCTGCTGGTCCACATCAGAACTTTTTAGAGAAAAACCCAATGTGTGTCTGGGTCAGTAAATGTTCACAATGAATGTGGACAATATTTTCAGTATGAGAAAGACTATGTAGTGTCAGAAAGATTCAAGAGCTACCATGAAGGGATGCTCCCTGGCTACAGATGGAAAGTGTTTGAAATTTAATAAGAATAAGAACTATAAAGGACTTGGTACAACACACCAAATATTTTTAAATCCTTAAATTCAATAACACATGCCCATGAACCCACCTGTCATCTTTGGACAATGCTAAGAAATCAGTCTATTACTTTGAAATTTTCAAATAAAGGAAAATAATCAACCTTATGAAGTAATCTTGTTGTAATCCTAAAGTGAATCTGACTGCATTAATTTGCAGGAAGGTCAGGAGAGATACCAACATGGGGATACAACAATCAAAATCTGGACTATAAGAAACTCTACAGGATATACAACACAGTGTCTAGCAAATAAATGGAAACATGACAGGCAAGGAGCCTGTAATTAAGAAAAAGAACATGTTTTAATGGTTTTAATTTAGTGATTTAAGTTGGATTCTCATTTCAACAAGCTAAATTTTAAAAGAATTATAAGACAATTTAGAACCTTGAATATGAAATGAACGCTGATTATGTTAAAGAACTATTAATTTTTAAGTGTTATAATTTTTAAGTATACTAGTTGTAAGGTTTTTTTGTTTGTTTGGGGTTTTTTTTAATTTGTTTGTTTGTTTTGTTTTGGTTAGGGTTTTTTCTTCTTTTTTTCTGGGAAGGAGTACTAGAGAGCAAAACCCAGATGCTTTACCACTGAGCTATAACCCAAGTCTTTTCTATTACTTATGTTGAAACAGGGTCTAAGTTGCTTAGGGCCTTGCTAAAGCCACTGAGGTTAAACACAAACTTGCAATCCTCCTGTCTCAACCTCCACAGACCCTGGGATTACATGCATGCACCTCCAATCTCAGCAGTACTTATACATTTTAAGAGTCTTTAATGAAAAATAGTCAATTCTCATTATTTGCAGATTCTGTATTTGTGAATTTACCTATGTGCTAAAATTTATTTCTAACTCCAAAATCAATACTTTGCAGCAGTTTATGGTCACTTGCAGGCATGTGCAGGCAGAATGGTGAAACATTTGAATGGTGAAACATACATATTCCCAGCTCAGCTCAAAGGAGTGCTCTGACTTCTTGTCTCAGCTCTCATACTGTAACAAGTGTACCTTTCATGGTTTTAGTGCCCCCTTCTTGAGTTTTTGTGCTTTACTTTATGCTAGTGATTTCATTGTTTACAACCCCTAGTGCAGTGCTTAAGTGCTGTCTCCTGTTTTAAGCCGTGATGTGCCTTTGTGGAGGAAATATGTGTGTTAGATAAATTTTGTTTAGACATGAGTCAAAGTGCTGTTGACGGCAAGCTCAATGGTAAGAATCGGCAATATATTGTGTTTAAAGAGAAACACACACTGAACAGGGTTAATATATTGACTAGTTTAGGAAAATGTGCTGAGAAGGCTCGCAGAAACCTAATGTCCTGTACGAGCAGAGAGTCAATATTCACTAATTCATTGTGTGCAGAACATAACTACTGTGAATAATGAAAACCAACTGTAATCTAAAATATTTACTTGTGAAATCCTATTGTGCTAGAAAATTGCTTCTAAGTAAGATGGACAGGTTCAGGATGGCCACAGATTGATGACTGCTAATGTAGAGTAAGGGGCACATGGGGCTTAATTATGCTATTATCTCTACTTCTTTATATCTTTCAAATTTTCACAATAAAAAGTTTTAATATCCTTTTAGGAAAAAAGAATTTTGCTTAAATCTCTTCCATTTCAAGGATAACATTACATTTCTAATACTGACTAATATTACAAATGGGCCCGTTCTTTCCTGCATATGATCTCYTCAGTTTAATTTTGTTTTTAGCCTAAAAACTTAATATGATTATTTATATTATCTGTCTCTAAAAAGAACAAGGCCCAAATCATGCTATCCATTTTCTTATTCACTCAGAAATAACCATTTAGCATCTATTACGAATAAAAATACCTCTGGCCCCTGATCCTTCAGTCTGGAAATCAGCCCAAAATTCAGCTCCAGCTCTCTGCTGCCCCAGCTGGATGGGCAAAATCTCAGGCTGAAGCCCTCCTTGAACTTGATTCATCTCTTAGTTTCTGTCCAATGTTTCCTCATTATCTTTCCAGTTCTTGCTTTACACAGATTAGTGTTCTTTCAGTGGGAGAAGCTCCAAAAGTGAAAGTCCTCCTGAAGTCAAGGGTCAAGGGCTTTTTTATTTTTTCAAGATAGGGTTCTATGTTGCCCAGGTTGGGCTTGATTTTGTAATTCTTCTGCCTAAGCCTCCAGAGTAGCTAGGATTATAGGAGTACACCAGTGCACCTGGCCAGAATCAAGGTTTTAAGAGTTTTAAATCAAKCCCAATTCTCCTTCAGGGTGCTTTAATAAAATTTCACATCTCCAGTAGTACGTGTCTACACAAGGCTTCAAGAACTTGCAGAAAATAATGAAAAAGGCAGCACCAGCCATATAGTAAATACCAGGGTAAACTTATAAACTTCCAGAACTTTGAACATTGGAGTCTTATTAGCTGAAAGCATTTAAGCATTTTAGCAAAACCATTGRGAAATCATTGGCTGAATACTAAGCTGATCTGGGGCACTCCAGAGGAAGTTGGACTTTAAATTAAAAACAAGAAAAAACGACTAATGAGAGAAATCAGCAGTGGCACCCTGTGTGGGGAGACAGAACAGAACACACAGTACCTTATATAAAMAGCAACAGTTGTCAGTGATGATGGTGACAAAAATCACAATCTGATCAGTTTTCTTATCATTTATTGTTTTAAGATATTTAGTTTTCAACAAAATATGCAAAAAAATTAAAACCTGTGACCCATACAGAAGAAACATAAGTCAACAAAAACTACCTCTGTGGGGTTCCACATGTTTGTCTCAGGAGAGAAGATTTCAAAGTAGCTATTATATATTTTTAAGGAACTTAAAAACTATGTCTAAAAAAATTAAATGAAAGTATGACATTAATGGCTCAACAGATAGARAATACCAATAAAGAGACATAAATTAAAATTATAAAGAATAAATGAAGGAGTTGGGATTGTGGCTCAGTGGCAGAGCGCTTGCCTAGCATGTGTGAGGCTCTGGGTTTGATTCTCAGCACCACATATCAATAAATAAAATAAAGCTCTATTGACAACTAAAAAAATATTTTTAAAAAAAGAATAAATAGAGGGCTGGGGTTGTAGTTTAGCAGCAGAGCACTTGCCTTGCATGTGGGAGGCATGGGGTTC